ACTAAAGCCTATTTAAGTTCAACGGACAGACATGCGCCAGCGCAACTGGTAACCACAATTTGCTTAGCACAAGGACAAAATCATTGAGATAATAAATGAGCGACGATTCAAATTCAACTTATAATAATGATGAGACTTTTATTGACATTAAAGTAGTATTTTATTATATAATATGTGTCTGATTTTATTTTAATGTTGTTTCTAATATCCGCAAGACCAGAATGATACTGTAATGCTATTAAAAAAAAATGTCATTAGCCATGATCTAAAGGATCATATGGCATAAAGTACTAATTTCCAATAACATTGATAGATATTGATAGATCTGATTTAACCCTAGACGATAATTGCAGATAGATAAAGGGAAAAAAGGAAATAACATCTGCCAGACAATAATTTCTTAATAATAAAATAGCTAAACAATTTTAAGAACGTAAGAATACCTACCAATAGATAATTGTAATGAATCTAACTTAATTTTATAATTATATTTACATTACATACCCCTTAATGATAGAAAAGGGTAAGAAATATGTCCCTGTAAAAATTACGATATTTATCGATTTATTTTTATCGATTGCAAAAGGTATAATTGCCGATAAGAAGTTCGTGTCGCTTTATGCGACACTAACTACTCACTAGTTTTCTTCATCGCATCTAATAATGAATGCAAATGAACTAAGATCAAGCTACTCCTTACGGCGTCGGCTTTCGCAGTCTTTGCTAATTATAATGGAACAATGTAGTGAAAGTAGACGCCTACAAATAAATATTTGTGCTTAGTGCGATCTAGTGGAATGATATTTTTAGTGATTCATTTTCGGATCTCGAAAAGATATCTGTAAGAAGTTAGAATATTTCAATAATGTAGTCTTGTTGACCTATCAAATATTCTGTTATTCTATTAAAACTATAAATACGCAAGTTTCGGGTTCGAATGAGTTCGAATCTTAATCTTTCTTAAAGGTATTTTATAAGGAAAACTTTAGCAATGTTACGTCACTCACGATTTTATATATAGATATTTTGTATTTCTTAGATTTTCATTTAAGTCTATATATAAAAATTATATATAACTAACAAATTTTATTGTTTTTATGAAATTGTTTATAGCGCGGAGGTTGTAGAAAACGTGTTTTGTAACGTTAGAATATAATTGTGTAAAAAATTATATAGAGTCAAACATTATTCAATACGCCCTCTAGTGTTGATCTAGATACGTTAATAAATTTTGTTTTATTAACAAGCTCAATTTAACTGTTATTAGAGTACGCAACATGTTTTTACGGCTCATTCAAATTTAATTCAAAATTAATCATTCGAATGTCGATTTGCGAATCGATAACAGTTTCCCATACCAGATGTGGGACAGAGTCAGATGGTATCGATTCAGCTTGTTATCGATGACCCCACGACGACTTTCTATTGGCTTTCGCTAATCGTGTATCGATCAATGCAGAGTTCCATCTGAAGAGTAGTCTTCAGATTAATCCGTTTAAAAGTAAAGTATCTTCAGATTACCACTGATAATTTGAATTTTGACATGATAAGGAACAAACAGGTTTGACATGTGAAGGTACTCAATTACGAAGTTGCGTGCTTTTATTACTAAGTTGCGTGGGAAGAGCGGCAACTCTTCCTGGTCAGCACCGATTATAATTAATAGTACTTAAATTCAATATTTTTAAAGTTATTATATAAGTTATCTTCATCTAAACTGATTAAAATGAATGAATGAATGAAATATGCTTTATGGTACTGCAATACAGGACAAAACAATTGAATACAATCAAATTAAATGCACAATTGGCGGCCTTATAACTAAAAAGTAATTTCTTCCAGGCAACCTGTGCGCATAGGAAAAAGCTATATCTAAATTTGGGAAGCCTCTATTACGTAAGGTACGCTTTTTAAATTGCTTTCAAAAATATTGACGCCATAAAGATGGCGCTCTCCTGCGTACGTGAGTCGAAGGCTATTCTCTTAAATAAATTTTCTATACACAGCGAAAGTCATGATGTTCAGTCCCACTAGTGATAAAAATAAACAGGACAAACAACGAAATAATCTACACCAATAACGAATGTCCATTACACAAGTGCAAGTCTAGCGTCATACATGACTTACTATATCCCGTCGTGGATAAAATAAGGTTGGCAAAATGGCATGGGCAATAGTGAGTTGAACATATATTAGTATCTGAAGGGATTTCCTTAGCAACCAACTCTATATGTCCACCTATACCTTCTGATATCTAATGTCAATTACACGAGTGCAAGACTAGCGTCATGCATGACTTACTATATCCCGTCGTGGATACAATAAAGTTGGCAAAATGAACACATATTAGTATCAGAAGGTATTACCCTAGCAACCAATCCTTCATGTCCGCTAATACTTTATCCCCCATGACTCTCATTCAACTCACACACACCGAAACAGAACCACGATGATAATCACAGAACAATAATACTCTACGTTTATAACCCTAGAGTAAGAGCACATGTGCTCTAGTATCAATTCTTTTTGCGTAATATAATTTTCTTTGCTACTCTAGAATAAAACTATTTAATACTACTGAAAATTGAGCATCCTCCAATGAACAAAGTTGGGTAATTTTTAAGACATTTACTGTAGAAAATAGTTAAACTATTTATTTTAATTGAAACGATTAACTACTGGTTTGTCATAACTATTTATCATACTTTTATTTTATGACAAAATATTATTCTAGACAATAATAAAAGATAAATTATACATGTAACTAAGTCAAGCTTAATAATGCACACATAACTCTTGAAAGTTTGGTTTTGTGGAAAAAGATTTAAGCAAATTTAGAAAACTGAAGAGTTACATGTTATATTTTGTTACGCTTATTGCCATTTTATGCGCAACCTATAAGCGTGGTAAATGGGTAACGTTAAGCAATAGTAAGTAAGCTGTTGCATTATATGGGCTCAAATTATTAATACTTTATGGATGTGATTTTTAACAATATTTCGTAATTTACGTAAGCTTACGCAATAGGGATGATGACTGGGTAAAAAAAAATGCAATTCTATTTAGCCCGTCAGTCAGATAATAGAAAAATATTATTTACGTATTTTTTTTTTACTACAATTTAACAAGAAATAGCTTAAGTAACAGGCATTAAAGTTGAGGAGTGGGGGCTCGCTACGTCACAGTTGAGTAGAAAACGTACCCTAACGTGACGTCATGCGAAATTTCAACTCCATGTAACGCCGTAATTTTATGATTACGAAAAATAAAAAAATATGTGTTTAATATTTTTCAACACTCTACCTGACGGACAAACAAACAAAAATTAGTCATCATCCCTATTACCTTGTAGAGATTAAAATGCTTTTTTTTCTACGAACATAACAATTAAGTTCAAATAAAATTTTATTAAAAATTAAATTGACAACTAAACAAAATTTTCTGTAAAATTCGATGTTCGTAAATTTCTTTTCGTTGCTATATTCTTGGTGAGTCTGTGTGTAATAGTCGCTTAATCGATTTTTTTTTAAAGAAGAGTGAATCAAATTTTTATAATAAATATAAGATTGATCCTAGATTATAAACGGTAGCACTCTAATATACAATCGAGATTACTTACCGACAATAAGAACCGCCGGGACTCGAACTTGTGCCTGCTGTCACTGTCTATAATTCTTATATATTTGTGATTATTTCTAATAAAAATATGCAGATATTAAAATAGCGTCTTGATGATTACAGTCAAATGCGGAGAAAAAAAGAGTTATCACAATATATATTTTTTCTTTATTTATATATATATATTTTTTTGATTAACCATACCATAAATACTTAAAGTAAACTTTGAATTTATTTTTACGAAAATTGTGCCAAAAGCCAATTATCCAATCAAAAATAATAAATACTCCTCCATTTATTATTTTTGATTGGATAATTGGCTTTATATCTGAAGTATATCTACACTAATATTAAGACGAGGTGAAGTTAAAATATTTGAAGTTAGAATATTTATAAACTGTATGAAAATTGTGTATGTGATGTGTGTTGCCAAATAAAATCTATTCTATTCTATTCTATTCTATTCTATTCTATTCTATTCTATTCTATTCTATTCTATTCTATTCTATTCTATTCTATTCTATTCTATTCTATTCTATTCTATTCTATTCTATTCTATTCTATTCTATTCTATTCTATTCTATTCTATTCTATTCTATTCTATCTATTCTATTCTATTCTATTCTATTCTATTCTATTCTATGTTTCTAACTGAATAATGACGATACGATCATAAAAATTACTACTTTTTCGCGGTATATAATTTACGCGGGCAAAGTCTCGGTGTTTACATTGTACATTTTCTTTCATTGAGCGCTGTACTTATTCCACTTTTGACTTTTTTTTATTTTTATAGTGTTTTTTGGATTACAGCGAACAGAAAAGAATATCTCAATTTTCTTCCAACACGGTATTTCAGATTTTACAGTGTTGCAGTCCGATATATTTCGTTATTCTTATTACCGATATATTAATAAAAAAAAGATAATAAAGAAAGATACCATTTTAAGATTTTTTTTTAAATTGAGTAACAGAAGGTTTGTTTTATAATACATGGCTTAAAGAATTTCTAGTAAAAACTGTTAATAGGTATTTGTAAAAAATTTAAAGACTTTGACAGGAAACTAGATATTGTTAAGAACGCATTTAGAAGTAGCAGCAATAGATCCAGTATCAGCTCCTTTTTCTCTTCGTTTTATTTCATACTAGCTTTCCGCCAGCTACTTTGCCCGCGTGGTCCCGAAGAATCTGCTTAGGGGGATAAAAAGTAGCCTTTACGTTTTTCGGGATAAAATAGAGCCTATGTTCACAATATTATATAAAGCAGCTACTCAGTACCACTAGTCTATTCGTTACAAACAAACAAATCTTTACTCTTTATAGTATTAGTATAGATGGGATGTAAAATATCGACGACTAAATGATGTTTATTTTTGTTTCAGGGAAAAGAGAAAAACAACCGTGAAGATTTGAAAACAGATATACAACATAGAAAAGAAACATTCTATAGGGTAAGGTTTAACTTATCATACCGAATATCCATTGTTTTTTTTTTAAATTAGATAACATCCGAGATGCGTAGTAAATACCCTTGCATTATGGAATTCATTTTCTACATTGATCTGACCAGGTATAGATGCACACATTTGGAACCGGTGTGCGAAGGAGACGGTTGTCAAAAAGAGGAACTTATTGAAGCAGTGATTGGAAGAGGACTAAATATCATTGTGTTGAACATACTGGCTGTTGTAGATTTTCATAGACTTACTTACTTTTTATATATTTGATTTATATTGTATATTTCAAATTGGCTCTTTAAATAAGTAAAAGATATTTACTTATTTATACAGTCCGCAAAAGCAATATGATCGCTTTAGTGGGTATGCCATCCCCGTTCAAACTAGCCCTCCAGCTCTGGAGTGCGTCAACGAGAATGGAGTCTCATGCCCGTTTTCACTAAACTCAGGAGTCGTTTAAATCTGTTGCCTAAATATTTAAGAATTACCTAAAATGAAAATGCATTTCAAGAATGAATATGAACCTCTTAACGTCATGAAGCAATATCTAGATCACAAATGTTTATTGTTGATGTTTTTTTTTGGAATTAAACTAAACTTATTTTACTGCATTTGTTTCAATTTTACTTTATACATTTTTCTGTAAGAAGCAAGTTTTTATTTGTTGACTCGATTGATAAAGAATTATATTATATAATGGTTATATTGTTGCAGGAGGCTCCATCGGACGAAGACTCGGCAGTGTCGTCCGCGCCCCCCTCCCTCTCACCACAACCGCTCAACGATATGTGGGTCAGTAACTTATTTATAATATAAACTTTTTACAAAAAGCAAAAATTAATGCAAAATATTGTTTGAAAAATCAATATTTCACCATTTTTTTTATTATTAAACAGACGTTAAGCGGTTAGCGCCTGTTTCGTTTAACTTCCCCTGACAACACATTTGCTTGCCATATTTTAACAGGCGTTAAAGTATGCTAATTTGTTAATTGCTCAGTATACCTATGGGTTCATAATATGAGTATATTAATAAATGAAAAATTGTAAGTTATTATTAAAAGTTTTAATTTTACATTTAATTTTTTAAAATTTTAGCAGTAGACACTGAGAAATAAATAAAGCTAAGGAAAGATATTATCTATGTATTGCGACAAGAGCTTTTTGATAATGTTAACCCTTTGAATTGAATATAATGTCATGTATTATTTTTAGATTAATTATTAAATAATATTCTACTGTCATTTATTATTTTGGTATTAATATGATGTCAACAATATTGTCAATACGTGTTAATAATACAGTGCGAAATAGCCTTGGCTCTCTTCTATAGTCATCGTTCAAACAAAATGTCAGATTTGCAATCTAAATATTTTGTCACCCACTAACTATTGGCGCTTAGGGCTTGCGTCACGCGCGCGTATGCGCATGTCATTGTAGGGCAACCAAATTATAAAATAAAAATATAATTAAAAGAAGAGAAATCAGCAATCTACGTCTGTTCATACTCTATCATATTTTAGTGATTTCTAACCAAAACGGAAACCGATTAATCGACTATAATCTTTATATTTTGGTGAAGCCGAATGTTCAACAAATCTATGTGTCTCACTTTGACTCAAATAACTAAGAGTTCTCTATTTTCCAAAACAATTTTTATTATTAACTACTCAAATACCAATTTTCATCGGTATAATGGACTCTTACGGAAGATGCGTCAATTTACTGTCAGTCAAGGAACGTCAGAACTGGTAAATTCCGAAATGACGTTCAACCTTACGTACTTGATAGATCATCGCGTAGTAATGCATACTTCCTTGAAGGGCTTGACGAATCCGGATTTGCACCGATACCAAGATCAGAAAGAGAACTTGTGCAAACGTTCTATACCATTCAGTCCTTTTCGGGGTGGTATTTCAAAGTATCCATTCTCTTCTACTCTCCATAATTTAGGTCTCTTACCTCAGTCAGTATGTCAAGTCAAGATATTAGTTTCTTTGATTATATACATGCAGAGGTATATTTTCAATTAATGTTTACAAATCGGTTCTAGTTTATAAACTAAGTTTTTGGCTTGACAGACGCCGTTTGTATGACAACGAGATGATTAAATTAAGCTTGGAAATCGGCACATTAAAAAGTATCTATGGGGCTCCTTCCTAACGGTTTTATCAATTGCGGCATTTAAAACGGTTTTTTTTCAAATAAACATTGGGCTAATAATTATTACTCTTACTATAAGTAAATCTGGTCTGGTGATATTGATAGCTTAGTGAACGCGGGCTAATAGATATTATGTACGTTAGCCTCAATTATGACGTCATCAGAATAGTCTCATTGACAAACCACCTCATAGCCACTCTCGCCCACAGTCATGCGGGCAGTGCCGTACGGCTGCGGAGCGCGCGGCGGCTTCGGCGCGCGAGTGCACGCGACTCGCGGACGCGTTGCGGGACGCTCGCGATCAGATCGAGCTCATGGAGTTCCGTTTGCTGGAGCTTGAGGACGCACATCCTGATAAGGTCAGACTCCTTGGTGTTTTATTTTTTATTCTTATTGTAAGACATTCGGACTCTTTGGTGATTTATAGTTTGTTTACAAACTCTATTCTTTTTTAATATTTTAATGACGATAAAAAACTTTTGTTCTATTTTTATTTTTTATGAATAAAAGATGAAGGCCGCTTTGAGGTAACTTTGAATCTCAGTTTATCTATTACGAGTTTTGACATTATGTGTGTTGGTTTATTAAGTTTGCCACTCGCTTTGGAATTTACTTAAATCTACTTATCTTATTGTAACAATTTGTTAGTCATTTTTAATTTTGTGAATGTAGTGCGTTGAAGTAAATTGTTTACGGATATTGCTTAAAAACCTTCAGATAATTTTAATTTTATAGTGAGCATTAGAAACAAAACAAATAGAATGTGTAGAAATAATGTAATACTTGTATCGTTATGTGATATAATAGAGGTGCGTTTAAAAGCAATCGATTGCTGATTAAGATAACACAAAGGAGGCTGTGATAAGGTGATAAGGAATTACTGGTAAACCAACAGTGTAAAAAGTACGGAAATGTGACTGGTGCAATAGCAAGAAAATATTTTAGGTGCTACAATAGTTTGTGGGAAGTTGTGAAACTGAAACTAATTAGTTCTCCAACAAAAGAACAGCAACAGTGTATTACGGTTAATTAAATATTGTGTTATTTTTTTATAAATTTAACATGGTCTCGTGATTGATAGTTACAGGTACGCAAATTTTCTAATTATCTTACAGTGTGCTTACAGAAATTAATGTATATATATTTATGGCGATTCTGTTGTATCACTCATCAAAGTAAATAATTGAAAATACAAATTTCGCTTTTAAATAAAGCTATGTGTTTTTATTAAACTTGAACCAAAAACTCGACGCATATAAGCTTTTAAAACTAATTTTAATTTGAATTTACTTTAAACTTTTGGTCACACGTAATATACGAAGTATAATTATACTTTTTTACGTGTTTATAATGTAAACTGGTGTTAAGAAGAGGATAGGTTTAATTGTTTGTTTGTTCGAATAAGCTTTGAAACTAACGGACCTATTTCAAAAATTCTTTCATGTACAGGAAGCTACGTCATATACGGGGAAGAAGCGGAAATACAGCTTACTTTTGTTATCTTAGTTTATTATAAGTTTGAAACCGCAGTTTGATAATATTATGTTTTAATTTAGTCTAGGATTGTCAGTACACAAATAATTGTTCATTCCTAACCATGTCTGTCGTTTTGAACGCGATATAAGTGAAAACTATTGAACTAATTTTCATGCTGTTTACTCTAATTAACGGAGTAATTCACTAGGAAGCTTTTGGTGTTATAATTTATTATGATTTTGTGTGTATTCGTTGAAGTATAACGATGATTGATGACGCCGGAAGGAATCATACCGATTGCATATAAAACACACCTGTTTGAAGCCGGGGCGATTTGCTAGTATTTTTTAAAGTCTTAATTATAAAACCATTATCCGACCGCTTTGGCGTTTTTCTTCTGTCATTGTCAGTTTGCTTTAATCGATCAAGTACTAACTTTGGTCGTCCTTTTATAATAATACGTCCATTGAAATTTTCATTAGTTTAAAGCAACATTACCCATACAAATTTGATATTCATTAGAGCTTAAAGGGGTTCATTAAGCCTTAAAATACGTCCACTGAAATTTTCATTTATTTAAAGCGACATTACCCATACAAATTTGACCTTCATTTAGGGGTTAGGGCTTTAGGGGTCATTAAACCTTAATAGACGTTTGTGCAATTGTTGTGAGTATGTAGTTGTGCTATTTTAAGCCTCGGTTGCACCATAATTGTAGTTAAAGTTAGGGTTTATGTCAAATTTGTCAATATCTGTCACGCTTACTTTAACATTGACTGATTGATTAAGTCATCGAAAAGTTTTGTTACATAATATATGTAATATACATAATATTTATTAAATAATACGTTTCCATTTAGTTTTCGTCATTACTTGTAAAAGTTTAAATGCTAATTATATATTATAAATATTATTAAGTTTAAATATAACGTCAGAAATGAGTATTTTAACTGAATATGAGATCACAAGACAATTAATACCGGTTAGTTTATTATGTAAATTTACTGCAAATCAAAGTGCAAATAACTATTAGTTGATTCAATGTCAAAACACATTCCTTACTTTATGGAATTCTTAATAAATTATCTTTATATTATATTTGATCAATTGCATTCACAATGTTTGGGTGGGTTCTCTGAACATTGATGAAATAACGCTCTTTACTAGCGACAAAAGTAACGAGTGCTTGAAAGATGCGTCAGTCCTCAGGTCCTGGGTAGCTCAGTGGTTAGAGCGGTCGCCCGGATTGCGAAAGCTCGTAGATTCGAGTCCAATTTCAGAGTACCGAGGACAAAGAAGAATTTTGCATTAAGAATAAATTCTTATAAATGTGAAAGTTTCTTTGTTTGGATGTTTAGATGTTTGGATGTTTGTCGGTCAATCACGCCGAAACTACTGAACGGATTTCGATGAAATTTGGTATATAGATAGGGTATTAGCTGACTTAGATAATAGGATACTTTTTATCCCACTTAACATTTCCCTAGAAGCCGCTGGCGAAAGCTTTTTTATAATAAAGGAAAGTGAATGGGGAACAGGGATCGACATATATTTTTTTGCTAGATTGCAAAATGGAGAAAATATATTAATTGCAGTTTGGTGCAGTTCAGTGGTCCCGATATAATGTGGTTCCACTTGTCAAATTACTAATAAATATATTACGAGCATAGCTTCTAGCTTCCCGCCAGCGGCTTCGCCCGCGTTTCAATTCCAATTCCAAGGGAACTGTTTATTTTGATATCGATTTATATCATGTTACACGGTATATATATAATTACAATGAAAATAGAATAGTAAACAATGGTTACTATGGTAAAGTTTTAAGTCCCTATACAAACTCCCATTCTCATTTTCATGTCTTTATTTGCTGTTTTTTGAGATAAAATATAGCCTATGTTCACTGCATGTGATGTAGCGTCTCCTAGGTGAAAGAATTTTTTAAATCGGTCTAGTATTTTTAGAGCCTATTCTTTGCAAACAAATATACAAACAATGAAATCTTTCCTCTTCATAATATTAGTATATTGTGTAACCACGTATGATGTAGCTTCCTGTAGGTGACAGAATATTCTTCATCGGATGAGTATTTCCTAAGAATATTTCCCACACACACACAAAGTTAGAAATTTTATCTCTTTTTAATATTAGCACAGATTTCTTATAGTTTTCATGCGATGTTTTCGTTATATTTTTTTTTATATATATATTTTACGTAATGAATGACAGACGTAAAGAAACCGGACTTAAAAAAAGTAAACCGCAAGGTGTTAATTGTCACGAATTCACGACGTAGTTTTTCAATAGCGATCTAGAAAATTGTACGAGTATATTCGGTCAATTTATTAAAATACCTACTGCGCAATTTAAAATAACTTAATACTAGCTATTTTCCCGCGAAGTCCCCGCGTAAATTTATCCCTAGAATGTAGCTTTCCATAGGTAAAGGAATTTTCATTATCAGTTCAGTTTTTCCGGAGACTACACCTACAAACAATCAAAGTTAAAAACTAATATTATTATAGACTAGTGGACGCCCGCGACTTCGTCCGCGTGGAAGTCGGTATCCCGTGGGAGTGAGAAGTTTTCCCAGTAAAAAGTACCCTATGTGTTATTCTGATGTATAACCTATATTGCTGTAAAGTTTTATCCAAATCCGTCCAGTAGTTTTTTCGTGAAAGAGTAACAAACATCCATACATCCATACTTACAAACTTTCGCCTTTATAATATTAATAGGATAGGATTATAATCAAAGCCTCATCATATTAGATCTTTTAGTGCTAGTAACCGAAGGCCCTTTTAAGGAAGGACGATATTTTATTTATTTTTCAAAATTTTCCTACATTGATTATTTCTGTATGGATCTAATGCAACTCTCCAGGTATATTCAAGTCTTCCGATCACAGAGATTGTCATATCAGAGGATAATTAAGAGTTTATTCGACAAACCAAACCAAACATGGTAAATTCTTATTTTTGTTTGTGTCAACGGTAATTTAAGTATCGAGAAATATGTTAATGATTCTTACTTCTCCCTTCAAAAAATTTACAAAAGAGTAGGAGTTATATGTATATACGAAACACCCTTCAGATCAGACATGTGGCCCGCATGTCACCAAATACAAGTTAAACGAAGACCCTTCCTTAATAGGTCTTTTGTTGGGTTTGATAAACTCTGTAGGTGTATCTTGACATATCTTTATGAGTAGTTTATAGAGTTTTAATAGAATTAAACATGTACAGCCGATTTGTTATTAATTATATTTACAATTAAACAAATAGTATTGCAAACAATTTTCGATCCTCAAAACAGAATAGACTTCGAGAGATGTTTTGTCACTACAATAGACTGACATAACTCGAATGACTACCTCTCTATGTCCGTGACCGAACATGATCGCGTTGATAAGGTGAAGGTTTGCTGCAACAAAGGTATATATTAACTAGAACGGAATGGTGTTATTAATATAGTACACGTTACACTTATGCTAGCAATCCTTAGCATTACACAATATTCATAAAAGTCACATATAAATTATTTTTAAGCTAATCGCATTTAAATACTTATATTTTAATATGTGTGTATTAAAATATAAGTATTTAAATGCGATTTTACAGCCAGCCATTGGAATTAAATAAAACTACTTTAAACGGTCTCAGCGCGTTTGTATTTGCTTTCATGACGTTTCGGACCCTTTACAGAAGGCCTACTCTGACCGAAAAAGAAAATTCATCTATTGTCGAAACCCTATTACGACTCTAAACGAACATATTTTTCTATAATTACTAATGAATCGGAGGTTAATGAGACTGCTTCTGATGCACAGATAATATTGACGCGTATGATTTAAAAAAAAATTGTTGTATGATTCGAAATTTTTGAT